TATTAAATTAAAGGCGTTAATTTAATTTTGTTGGAGATAAAGAAAATTAAAGGAATTGCTTCATTAAGCAGTGGGATTTGTTTTGAATGGAAAAAAGGTAACAAGTCAAGTCCTATCTTTACTTGCGATCTGTTGATGTACTCAGTTAGCTCTCATCCTACTTTATCGCACACTACTCATATATTATAAATATATACGACTTTCTGTGTTTAGCGTATACCCTACTTATTCTACTCCTACCAATTGCCCAACCTTTACTTCTATGCATCTTTAATTCGTGTGTCTATGTTTGTGTCTGCTTTTCTTTCTTTCTTTCTTTTAAAAAAAAAAAAAAAGATTATGAGAATCATAGTATACATCACATAAAATTATAGTATTGAAATTCAAGTCAACTCAACTAGTTAAACAAATAAAATGTTGAACCAACTAACCAATTCAATAAAATGCTTCATTCATAACTAATCTAATTACAATTCAACTATAATTTTGACTATAGTATGAAAATCTAGGTCAAACCTATTCATTTGAATCGGTAAATCATTAAATCAGTATCTTAACAGTTTAATAAAATATTTTTTATAGCTTGTTTGATTACTTCAATTATATATGTTTTTTTATTATTATTAACCCCTAAACCAATACTTTGACCAATCCGGTTTTTAGTACCTTTAGTTTTAATAATTAACCCATGAATCAATATTTTAACTGGTTTAGTACTTTGCATAAAACACATGGTGCTTGATATTTTGCTATAGTTTTCTTCATGGATGTCCAATAACAAAGAATAGAAAAGAACCAGGAACTTGTGATGGCCGGCTACATTATTGGCTGCAGATAACGTTAATTATCCATTCGGTTCTGGGTTTTAGGTATTGATATACATACATATATATATATATATATATATATATATATATTAGTTTATTTGATTGATAAAAAGAAAAGAAAGGTGAGAATAAATTTATATATATATATATATATATATAAGATGGAAGGTGTGAAGGATAAGCCGAAAAAATTGGAGAAGAGAAATGTTTTGGTGGAAGTGGAACGTGGGGAACCCTAAAAATAATGTGTCTATATAAGCAATGATTGCTTTCCAACTCACTCTCTCTAACCTTTTCATTCTCACATCACTAATCATTCTCACTATATTCATCATTTCCATTACAATAACGCCACACACAAGAAAAAAATACTCGTGTTGTAAGTTTATCACAACATTTATAACTCAAAAATAATAAAACTTGTTAGAACTTTTATACTCCTTGTATTTAATATTATAAGACACTTTGAACTGATATCTTACCCCCATTAATAAGTTAGTTTAATTATATTGTCTTTAAAGTTACACACTTTTGTTATGTTTACCCGTATTTAATAGGATGTCTCAATTAAAAAAAATTTATTCAAAACACACATAACAAAGGTATTTTTAAAAAAAGACATTATTAATTGCACCTTAAAAGATTTAAAATATCTTATGTTTTTAATATCTTATCTAAAAAATCATTTATTTTTGAATTGAGGGAGTATTATATATAAAATGGTCATAAAATGCTGAATTAATTAACAAGCTATTTTATCAATAAATCATGCAAGGGGATTCATCATTGAAATTTAATGTAACGTATGAAAAACCATGTTTAGTTATAGACAAATGGAACTCTTTTATGAGACCTTTTTTTTCAAAGGATCATGTTGAAAAATATAAAGCATTTGTATCTTTGAATGTGTAATTAATAATTTTTTGAAAATACCCTATTAAATAAGAGTAAACCTAAAAATAATATGTTATTTTAAAGATAATTAACTAATTTTTTTATGATTTAATTCAGATAAAAATACTTTATAATACTCAACGAAGAAAGTATGACTTATTCTAAAATAGACATATCTAATTTTAAATTAAATAGTCATAAAAGATTGAATTACATGGTTGTTATTTGATGGCTTTTGAAATTAATATGTAACACCATTTGATTTGAACAATTAGAATTAGAAATTAATTTTACTTCTTTTTAATGTAACACCATCTATTTTGAGTTTTGCACTAAGAAAAGAACAAGGCTAACAGAAAAAGACAAAGGAGAAAATTCCGGTGCTAGATAGAAAAAAATTCTATAACTAAGTATATACTCAACTTAACACTGTACCAATGGGATCGACTCCAGCAAGAAGGGTTAGTTTATTATAACATGATGAATTAAAATTTAAATTCTTATAAAAAAAAAGTGCCCACTTTTAATATTCAACTATATTTTTAATAGGATTGTATTCAATGAGAAAATTCATATGAACAATAAAAAAATATATCACTTAACACTCTACGATTAGATATTCATAAAATATGTGTTTGAGTAGTGGTGAGTATGACTGAGTCCATCTGCCGACCAAAAAAGTAAAGAGAAGAGAGGATGAGAACTAAGTAGAGGGAATTAATAATAGTTAGATATTTATAAAAAAATTAAAAAATAAATTACAATCTATTTAAATAATTAAAATAAAATATTTAAATTTTAAATATAATTCTCAATTTGCAATTATAACTCCTTTATAACTATTTGAATTAATATTTATAACTTATTTTTAAAAATTTTTTGATAATCTAATAACTATAATTTTTTTTATTTTGAGACTTTATTATTATTCTCTCAAAGAAAAAAGGAAGAGTGTCAACCAATATTTCGAAAACCGCACTTTCAAACTAGTCAAGGTATATTAATATATTTTAAATAATATTTGATTAGTATAAAAAGAACCAAAATAATATGTGAGTGTTGGGGGGTAACATCTATCAATATTCTATTATTTTCATCCAAAATTTATACACTTATTTTATAATTTATAACTTATGGTGTTGGAACACTTACACACACGAATATATATATATATATATATGAATATTTTTTGCATGTTTATTTATTTTTCTTCCTTTTTCCCTGCTTATTTGATACAAGTAAACATAAATTGAACCTTAGAAATATAAATTTAAACTAAAAGTTAAAAAAATTAAATGGATGGTTTAACCGATCTAGCAATCGGTTCTCTAATTTCCTGTTTTCAATTTCCTCTTGTTCGGACCAGACATTGGACAAGTTTCCTATTCAATCGGTTTAGTTGACCCGGCTTGTCAACCTTGTCCGGTTCTCGTAATAGTAGGAAGAACTGGGCTGAAAACTATGGGCCGTGGGGCCCAGAGTCCACAGAAGCAGAGTACTATATTGTAATTAGAAGGAGGATTTACTTACTGAATAGTTTTTTTGTGAAAAGGAATACTAATGATGATAAGGTATTGATGAGTAATTAATTTGGTGTTGGGGGAGGAAAGGAATGTTGTATTTGGAGAGGTGTCGCTTTCGTATTGTCCAAGGTCGGTCCTTGTGGGGCCCATCCCCGTGCAGGCTTTTGGACCATTCTTCATTATTCCCAACCAACCAGAGACCGCGTGCGGTTGCTGCATCTGGAAATCTATTTTATTAATTATTAATAATAATATCATATATTATTATTTATTTATTTCCCCACTAAACCTTAACACCACTTAGATTTGAATCTGATGAGCACCTTAAATAAATTCATTCATTAAGTATTTTATATGTCATAATAATAATATTTTAATTTAATCAAATAACTATTAAAGATTGTATAATGTAATAATACTCAAAAAAATATAAAATCTCAAATTTGTTAAGAAGATAATATGAGTAAAGAGTGTTTTGATTGGGATGATTTTTTTGAATTTAATTTTGAAAGAAAATATACCTTGATAATTTTTAAATATTAATAAGATCTAACGGTTATAATTAAAACACGTATTAAGTCTAATTAAACTACTAACTAAATCAAGTCCTAATCCACCCACCTTCCACCGTCCCCAGTCCCTGCTTTATTTACTTATTTATTTGCACTTTTTCAGTACAAACAACCTGTTCCTTTTTTTTTAATTAATAAATAGAAAAAATTAAGAACTTCCCTTTAATTGCCTTGGCTTATTTTCTCAGAGCAAGTTATTCGCCAACCATTTACACAGTTTTGGTTTGCTCACGGCAACACAGTTACAGCCTACAGGCCTGCATGAGTGACACACTCAATTATTTTCTATATATAGAAAATTCAAATGTTGAAATGGTCAGAATGTAATTACATGTCAACAAATTCAGATTAATGAATTTTAATTAGCTGGCTAGCTGATGATGTAATTGTGACGATATGGTTAATACAAAGAGTTAAAGGTTACCATGGTTAATATAAAAAATATAACTTTTAATTCCTGAATTTTTTTTAATTATCAATTTAATTTTTAAATTTTGACTTATGATGATGCGATCTCTATAGTTTACTAACATAAAACTATTGAGTTTTTATAATTATTTTTAACTTAATACAACTTAATTTTATAATTTTTTAATTAAGTCAATAATAATTAAATTGTATCAAGTCAAAATTTAAGAGGTAATGGATAGATAGTTCCGTAATAGAAGTTATAAAGTTATATTATCCCTTATAACACAATTATATCTAATTCAGATTAATTAGATGGGAAAGAAACGAGAATGCATCTAGAAGAACCATCCTTATTAGCATGATTACAAATTTACCATATGCTAATTAATTAAATCTGATCGTGTACACCACGCAGTGTGTGGACTCGAGAGGGGAAAAAAGGTGACGAGGCTACAGTGAAGAACCAGAGGGAGAGAGAGAGGGAGGAGAAGAAGAAGAAGAAGAAGAAGAAGAAGCTAGACGAGTGACTTTAGGTGGGAGGGAAAGATCCATGTGTTGTAACCTACAAGAGTCACTACCAAAACAAAAATATCGTTCATCCATTGCCCATCATCATCATCATTATACACATACATTATATAATTATACTACTATATATATCCTATACATTTTTTTTTAAATTTTTTATCTTAGTTTTGTCCTTTATTAAAGACCTTCCCATTCGTCTTCATCACCGTTTGATCTTTTCCTCTCACTCTTTTTCCATTACATCAATCCTTCTCTCTCGTCTCCATCACTTGCTGGTGGCTGGTGCTACACTTTCACATCTCTCTCTCTCTCTCTCTCTCTCTCTTTGTGTGTAACTCACACAGATAAGGAGAGAGAATTACACTATTGTTGAGAAGGATGGATCACTAGGTTCTTCTTCATCTTCTTCATTGAGCTTTTGCTTCCTTACTATTTAACCCTACTCTTCATCTTTCATTTCCTCATTAGCTTTGCCTTCTATTTTTGGTCTCCCTCGGGATCTGATCTCTCTCTTTCTTTCTCTTTCGCTACTAGCTACATGCACAGGACTCCTGAAAGCAAATAAGATTCAGTTCAATTCCCGAGGATATATACCACTTTTCACTTTATTGTCTTCTTCTGTGTCTGTTGTGGGTTTCATTCATTCCCTGTCTTTCTTTCAGTGCTTTTGGTTTTTTGTCTGTTTATGTTGGACTCCACCAAGCTATTATTAAGCTTGTCGATGCGATTGCGAAGGCAAAAACAACGTCAGAAAGATTCTCTCCTATCCACCCATCTCCATCCTGCGGCATATCTTTAGTGCTTCAGACGAGGCTGTTTAATTTTCATCAGATCTGCTGAACAATTCTATTTGCGAAGGTCGTTATTTTTCTTTCTTTCTTCCTTTCTTTTTTCTTTTTTTTTTTGTGGTGTTATACACGCACGCACACACACTTGTGGTCTCTTTCTGTTTGCATCATCTGGGTTTCTCTTCGTGATTCATCATGTTTACTTATTTATTTACTATCTTCTGCAAATGCTTTAGCAAGCGTGAGCATGGTGGATGAGTTTTGTTTGTTGAGAGTCAATACAAAGATCAAGTCTAAGAGACAACTAAAAGACAAGAGGGAAACCCTAGTCAAATGCTAATTAATGTGTCACACATAGAATCTTTGATATGACTTTGATCTGAGTTTGGGTTGTGGATTATATATATATATATATCGATCTCATCATCAGCATACCAACCTCTATATCATGTTTGCTTTCACTTTTTCCCTCATCTTTTTTGGGTTTTATTACACCAAACATCATTAATTAATTTTGTTTTATATTAATTGATTTCAACAGACCATTTTGTCTCTGCGCAGAGTCAGGTGAAACTGTTTTCCCCCCTCAAATTAAATCTGCTTCCAAACTTCCGAGTTATGTTTGATTATTTTCATGAGTCTGATAAATGTTTGATCGATCCTTATATTACAGACAAGTAGACAACACAACAGGACTCTCATTACACATTATTGCATTACAAGAAGTGGACATTCTCTATCCTCTATCATGTACCATATATATATATATATATATTTATATAATGTAGTTTTAGTTTTCTTCTTCATGGGAAAAAAAATAGAATCTCTCTCTTATCTAAGTAGTGATTTCTAATCATTTCTTTTGTAATTTCATTCTCCTTTTCTCTCCATCTTTCTTTTTCTTTTTCTTTAAGGTCTCGAGCATACCCGTTTACCAGCAAATGGACGTCTTATGACGATAAATTGCTTTGATTAAACGTCCAACATGTGAAATAAGCTCTTTTTTTTTAAAGTAAAAAATCAGCTTTATATTTGTAAAATGAAGTCTAGTTTATCTGCTTTCTTTCTGAGAATAAATCAACGCTTCGGTACTGTCTTAGCAATGTATGTTATGAAATCTTCGTGAAGACAAGCTTTTTAACAAAGTCCTTGTTTGGTGGTTAAATCTTAATTATATTAACCAATATTCAATATATCAACTTAAATTTCCATCAATCCTATATATATAACGCAAGATCATACATACATACATACATACATATATATATATATATATATATCAAGCAGTGCTAAATTTTTCTTCTGCTATACCAAATCCAGGTTTTGAAACTCATCAGACAGCAGACATGAATACATTTTCACATGTTCCTCCGGGGTTTCGATTCCATCCCACTGATGAAGAACTCGTTGATTACTACCTCAGAAAGAAGATAGCTTCCAAGAGGATTGATCTTGATGTAATCAAAGATGTCGATCTCTACAAAATTGAGCCATGGGATCTTCAAGGTACTTCTTAATAACTTCAGATTTAATAACTAATAAATAATAATAAAAAGGAAGAGCCCATAAACTTGAGTCTTCATATAGTTATCCTTCCACTACTCTTGTCCATCCGTTCTCTTTACCTGTTTCTGGATGGTTGCTTCCCGTTCCTAATACTATAAATTCACATACATGCTCTTGGGGGATGATAGAGCTATGCAGAATAGGAAGCGAGGAACAAAATGAGTGGTATTTCTTCAGCCATAAAGATAAGAAGTATCCAACAGGAACACGCACGAATAGAGCCACAAAGGCAGGATTCTGGAAAGCCACTGGAAGAGATAAAGCAATATATTCAAAGCATTGTCTGATTGGTATGAGAAAGACTCTTGTGTTCTACAGAGGAAGAGCTCCTAATGGACAGAAATCTGACTGGATCATGCATGAGTATCGCCTTGAAACTAATGAAAATGCAACTCCTCAGGCAAGTGTGTGTGTGTGTGTGTCATTAATTTCATTCCTTCTTCATTTTCTCGCCTATTAAGTACGTCCTTGTTTTATATATTATTATAGTATTGCATCTTATAGTACAATAATGCACACAAACTAACTCGGTCAAAGCCTTCAGATCTCAGATCCACTCCCTTTTATTGATATCTGTATTTTTGTATCATCAGTTTATGATTAAATTATTATATTAGTGCATCTTATAGTTGGGTTCATTCAACTTCTTTGGTTTCATTATTTCAAAAATTGGATTTGTAATTAGGTGCACAAAGTTTTAGAAAGTTTTTATTTAATTATTTATATGGTTAAACTTTTTTTGATACATTGTGGGGTTAAACTTCTGTGGGTACCTGGTATGTTCTTTATGTTAATAAAAGTAAAAGTAGACCATGAATTGCAATATATAGACATCAACTATCACTAAACTAAAAAAAATGCTACTCAATGTATGACTTATGATCAACTTAAATAATTTAAGCGAGTTGACTTGAACTGCCAAGAACGAACATGTAGTTGACTGGTCGTCGTAGAACTAATTTCAAACTAAGATTTTAATGGTATGAATATATTTAATAAACTTTGTCAACTGTAGTGACAAAATTAAAATAAAAGAAAAAAGAAAACAAAAACTTAGGTAAAAGAATAATTTAACCTTTTCACAAAGTACAGAGAGCATTTTTTTTTTTGACAGTCCTAATTTATTACATGTTTTGCCAAACTATTCAAAGTTAGGTGGAATATATGTTATCCCAAACTATTCATAGTTGTAACCCTCTCTTCCCAGATTTCCACATATGCCTAGCTAGCTAGTTAATTAATAATTATTATGATTAAAAATCCAATTAATATAGTTACTAATCTCTATGATCTATCATCTACAGGATATTTAATTTACCTGTATGTATATAAACATGCATTTTTCTTTTCCAGGAGGAAGGTTGGGTTGTATGCAGAGTGTTCAAGAAGAGAATTATGACGACAATGAGAGAAGTAGGAGAATATGAATCACCATGTTGGTACGACGAGACAACCTCGTTCATGCAAGACCTTGATCATCAATCTCCTCGACGTAGTAATATTTCTCCACCTAATTACTACGCATGCAAGCAAGAGTTTGAATTCCAATACAACATCATCAATAATCTCCCTCCTCACGATCATACTGCTTTCCTTCAACTTCCTCAGCTTGAAAGCCCTAATAAAGTCCCTATCTTCGGTAATAACGCCTTTGATCATCATCATCACAGAAACAACAATATCAGCAGTAATACCATGAACTCATCATCAACATCGTCACTACTGTATGATCAGGCAGCAGCAGTTTTAGTGGATGATCAAGTTATTACTGATTGGAGAGTGTTTGATAAGTTCGTTGCTTCTCAGCTGAGCCAAGATGATCATCATCACCAACAACAACATGCTGCTTCCAAGGAAACCACTTTTGATAATTCCAATAATAATAATAATAATAATAATAATAATAATAATAATAATGTTGACGTGGTTGCTGTCCCTGAACAAGTTACTATGATATTGGAGAATCAGTCGACAACGAGGTCGTCGGAGTTGGAGCAGGAATATGCATCAGCATCCACCACCACTACCTGCAACAATATTGAACTGTGGAAGTGATCATCATCAAAACATGCAGTTTTCACATACTAATTAATCATAGGATACTGCAGTTTAACGTTGGGGAATTAAGGAGGGGTTTCGAGTATGATATGTATATATATAGCTCCATCCATATGTTTCTATGTACATAATAAGACCCAACGTATATACATATATATAGTTGGATGATTGGAGCTCTGGTGGCCCATGGTTACCCTTACACTAGGCCATCAGATCGATGCACACCATATATGATATATATGCTTATATAGGTTATATGGAGCTAATACATCAGTGCTTCTCTGAGAGAACTACTGTGGGGTCCTCAGTGTCGATGGATATGTAGTGATATAATTCTGTGAATGCAAAAGGTTTTATATATATTCTATATAGTTTTTGTTGTTTTCCATTTTTCAGCCTTTTATGTATACATAGCTCCCCCACGAAAGTATTGATTTTGTCTGCTTTGCCAACATTAAGCAACAATTTGAAGACTCTTGGATTGGCTAGTTTCAAATTGTTCGACCATGTCCATGTAACAAATGTAAAAATATGATGTTGAGAATGAATACACACACTCCCTCTCCTCTATATTATAAATTTTTCTCTCTCACGATAAATGAAGTTTTGGAGTAAAAGATCAGAGAAATACAACATTCAAGGAGCCATATAGATACACTAATTAGAAATAAATTCTCCTCTTAGAAATTGAAAAATGTTAACTAATAACTAGCTTACATTAAGGACCAATAAATTTTCCTAGAAAATGCCTTATAATAAGAACAAGAGAGAATGTATATATGTGTAGGATCGCCACTCAGTACTTGGTTAATTAGCAACTCGTTGGGAAAGTAATTTTGCAATTTTCAGGTAAAGATATTTTCGTATTATTTTGGTTGACCAAATCCAACTGATTTCCAAACACACATAATCAAAACTATTTAGTGCCTAAAATAGATATATTAATCATCCAAATTAATTGAAAAGGAACCTTTTCTATATTTCAATCATTTGTTATAAGTTATTGAACTGTCATATGTATAACCTATTTATTGTATAGTATATCACAAGTCTTTTTTCTTATAATTTTACAGAACATATTTAATTTGATTATTTAAAAAACTTTTACTATTTTTTTGTTATTATTACATTTGGTAAAATGATATTATCATTAGTAAATAAATATCATAAGTTTACAGTTTACTAGATATCTAGCAAATATATTAATACATGGAATTTCGTGGGTTATATCAACGAAGAAATATTTAAAAAGGGGGGTGAAAAAGCAGAGGGCGAGGGTGGTAAAACTTTTGGGCTCTTGGCTATATGTTGTATTAAATTTGAGTCTCGTCAGGGGAAATTAAGGGTGAGAAAAATGTTACGACGTTAACATTACGAGCCGATTATTTTAATTAACAAACAATCTTGCCAGATAATCAATAACTTACAGCTTTATTACTGCTTCGAGACGAATTTCTCTTCAAGATATAGAAGATATATAGAATGAAAGGAAAAAGATCTCATCGAAAAAACGAATGAAAGGAAAAAGAATAAAAAATAAAAAAAGATTTTATAAATGTGAAATATTTATTTTTCCCTTGAGTTAACAAAGACTAATAACTAAAAGAGATATTGATACTAAGAATGAATGAATATAAAAGATATTACATATCACAATGCAATGAGATTTCCTTTACGTTGACGCTACCAAACTGGTTCACCTACAAAATAAGATAATCTCTAATCATATAATTAAAGAGAGACATTTAAACAAAGTAAAAGATCCTCATATATGTCAAATAAATTAAGATCCTCATAATTTAAACGGATATTAATTTTCTCTTCATAGTAAAAAGCAGAAAATTTGACTTGATTACAAAGGACTTTGAAAACCGATCAAAAGAGTTCAACTCACATTCATCTTAAAGCTTTGTTACTTAATCAGCACGAAGAATTAAGAAATGGGAAAAAAGTATAATTTTGCCTATAATAAAAACTTTCCTCATATCTGCATGTTAATTATCTCTTTTTCTTTGTATGAGTTTACCGGTGCCAACCCAAGCCTGAGGATGCAAGGGACACCTCGTGATGTTAATACCAGAACGTTAAACAAACAAACAAAAACAACATTCAAGTTTAATTCTGTGTTGTGCGTCTGATGTTGTGCTGCTATATATATAAGCTTAAGATGCTGGACAAAACAAGCAATAATGCAACAGTACGCAATGGCTAAACTAATATAATTAACAAGGAAGAACAATACCTGTATGTGAAGAAGAAGATGTCTTCTCTGCTGCAGAATGAAACATGAACATACATGTCTGTAGCTACTTGATAAAACAACCCACTTGTACCTATTTCTTTTGAATTCTGATAATATGGAAGCCGTGGCGCTCACTTATGTAGTTTTGTGGTTATTGAATTATATTACTTGGATATTGGACTTGTGAGTATATATAATGCTGACTTGCAGGAACAGTAGAGCAGATATCTTAAGAAGGAGCAAATGAATATTGTACGAGGAAGTGTAATTCAAGGGAAACAAGAATGATGAATCATGAATCAAGTAGATAATAATATCATGTGGGTGTCATTAAATGTAGTAACTATAGTAGCGAGTGAGAGTCAAAACTCTGAATTATCCTTTAAAGCAATGGCACACTCATTCACGACACAATCATGAGGCGTGCTCCTTTCAACTTATCATTCATGTTTCAACCCTTAGCTGAGATCTCTGATCAGTCTGAGATTGGCAGACACAGAGAGAGAGAGAGACCATCACCAGCATGCTTGTCAAAACGATGATTCCATGCATGGTTCAAAAGGGCAATTCAACCCCTTTACAGTTCAAATTTAACCTAGCTAGCTAAGTACATAGTTTGACTTCTCTCTCTCTCTATATATATATATATATGTATATATACACACACACCTCCACTCTAGACTCTATCCAATAGCCTTTCTTTGATAGTATTCTACGTACATTCATCTGTTCGTATATTTAGGCAGAAAATAATACAGAGGAATATGACTTCGTGTGCGTGCGTGTGTGTGATGCACACTAACCTTTTTTGATCTGTAACAACCATAGAGCATGTGTACTAGTGCTACATTTGAACTTAAGTTAGAACTCAAAATAGGATATAGTTTTCATCCAAAAAGGCTTAAACCCGGAACATTTTCTACTTTAAGCATGGAGTTATTTTCTGGGCTCAACCTAACAAAGTTGATGAAAATATATATTTGTATACTCGCCCAAGTTTTATATATACTCCCTCTATTAATTATTATAAGGTACTTTTAACTTAATTGCATCTCCCGATGAGCTAGTTCATTATCTTTAAAATAATATAATCATTTTTATATTTACTCTTATCCCTTGAATAAGGATATTTTTAGGAAAAAAATCTTATTAATTGAACCTTGAAAGACCCTAACATGATACTTTGAAAAAAAAATGCTTTATAATATTGAATGGAGAGAAGAAGTCACTTTTAACTATTCACTACAACCAAAAAAAAGATAGTTAAATCATTACTGTTGTCTGAAAAAGAAATAAATCTCCTAATTTATCCTTATTATATGTATCATTTTTAAAGAAATTTTCTTTCTTATATCTAACATTTTAATCAACTCATAGAAAATTGTAATTAAAATTTGAAGAAAATAATTAATTATCCACCTTTTTATGAAAATTAACTTACGATAAAAACAATTTCAGTTTATTCTAGAAGGTGACTCTACTTATTCTCCCTTACGAGCCAAACTTTGAAAGCCTTTTCATGTCCTTTATATAAAGCAAAGTTAGAGCAAATTAATATTTTTCCAATTTTACCTATTGTTTATTTATTATCATTTGAATTTCTAAAACAATTTATTATGATTATTAATTACAAAAAAGTGTAAAATTATGAAGTTATATATTTTAACAATTTTAACAATATAACTATCAATTCTTAATAAGCATAAGGCTAGTTAAATTTGCTTTATATAAAACTAGAGGGAATATAATAGAAAAGAAAAGAGTATATATTCTCTTCGGTGCAAGATATAATCAAATTTTAGAAAAAACTTGCATATCAATAATATCCTTATTCTAATAATATATATATATATATATATATTTATTTACTCTTAATTTTACTTATCAATGCACTTCATGATAAAAATAAATAAGCAAGATAAATTTATACAAGAATCCAACGAAGTCACTAAATACAATAGGTAAAACTAAAATAAAAAAATAATTTTATATATACTAAATTATTTATATTTTAAATTAAGATAAAGTGAAAAGGAAATGTTAGAGAGAGAGAGAGAGAGAGTTGAATGACTTTGGGTCTGAAAACCAAAACAAAAGGACCATTCGCCATGCCACATGGGAGACAGGGAGCGTGAATGAATAATTGGAGGAATTAAAAAAAAAATTGTTGTTTGATGAGTAAGATAACATTATTAAAAAACATGTGAACCTTAAACCAACCACATCATTATCAATCAGTTTCTTTAGTTTCCAAATCCCAAACCTCCATACTTCCTGGATTCCCACTTCTTCTCCTACTTATGTCCTTTCTTTATATATATATATATATATATATCTTTTCTGTCTTAATCACAATTACAAAAGGGCCTTTGATTTTAGTCCTCAAACAAACATTAATTCTTATGATACTTCGACATGTACAATACATTCAGATGCTTTCTATTTCAAACTTTTATGAGAAATTAGTCTTTTAGTCCTCCAACTTTAATTCACTTATAACTCATCCCTCAACTATGACTCGCTGTAACTCAGTCCTTCAATTATGACTCGCCTATAACTCAGTCCCTCAACTTTTGAATCACTTACAATTTAGTCCCTCAACTTTTGTTAATTTTTTTTTCATGTTAGTTTAGATCTCAATTAATGAGCAAGAGGAGGATATTTAGAATAATATATAAATATTTTTTTATCCCTCTCATTTGATAAAAAAATTTTAAAAAAAATTAAAAAATAAGGATCAAATTATAGGTGAATCAAAGTTAAGGGACTGAGTCGCAGCGAGTTATAGTTGAGGGACTGAGTTACAAGTGAGTTAAAAGTTGAGGGATTAAACGATTAATTTTTCCAACTTTATCTTTTTTATCGATATTGAGGTGTAAGTTGAGTAGGGTACGTTGCCCAAAACGCATTGCAACAATCATTGTCGTTATTTTTGTACTATACCACAGTATACATCATTCCATCAATAAGTCTATATATAGATATATATATATATACTTATCTCATCAATTGATGCTCCCCTGTTTCGTATTATACGATACTTTTTCTGAAGTATTCCTTCTGTCATAATTTATAAAATATTTTTAATAAAGTTATACATATTAATAAAATTTATTAAATATAATTTACAATCTTAATTTTTTTTATATACTTTCAAAAATATTGTTTATTAATAAGAGAGAGGGGTAATATTAACATAATTATCATTAATAAAATCTTTTTTTCCAAATGTCTAATATTTTGAAATAGAAAATCACCTCAAAAACTTCTAAAATGGAAAGGAGGGAATATTGTGTTAAAAAAATATATTTATATATATATAAGCTATTTTGGATCCTTCAAAGTGTACTTAATAAGATTTTTTCCAAAAAATTTTATTTAGGAATATAATGATAACATTTTTAAATTGAGATATGGATACTTTATTAAAACAAATATAAAAAAATGTATAATTTTAAATATCATTGACTAACCTACCAAAGTTGTAAATTAGCTAAATATACCTTATAACTCTAGACAGGGGTATATACTTATTAGTTATTATATTTTAACTAGTGATCTCGATTTTAAGGCCTAAATTTGTAATCATGATTTAAAAAAAAAACTCATTGAATTTGAAAGAGTTTCGTTACCTTTGTGGTTGTATATGCCCAATTCCTTTCAAATTAATAAGAGTCCAATGTGTAACTTCCAAATACCTTTGCTAAAGTAGATACACACACCATTGGCAATATACATAGTGAGGTACGAGAAAAACAAACAAATCAGCAACGTAGAATGGCAGGAGTTGGAGATTTAGGACATGTTGAAATTATTTTTATTTTATTATTATAAAATTATTATTTTACAGAACATGGTTTGAAAATTAAAAAATAATGAAAAAGTATATATTTTTTTTTCTTCCTTATTAATAACTTCAAACATTTAAAAGATTTTTTTTTTTCAGAACAATAGTTTATTTTTTTATTTTCAAAACATTTTTTAAAAACACATTACCTAATAAATTTTTTATTTTTTTATTTTGAAAAACAAAAAAATATTTTTAAAATAAATTACCAAGTAGCCTCTAGATTCTTTGAACTAAGAGTTACAACACAATTATAACTAGTAGTATTGATCAAAAGTGAGGGGCACTAAATGATGATAGAGAAAACTTTGCGGTGACGAAAGCACATGAAGTGTCGGTGTTCATATTTCAGGCCTGGATCATCATTCATCATATATATCATCAAAAGATGCACCAATTAATTAAAACCTATGTCACGCCAACACTACACATTTTTTTCTGATTCCAATGTCTTGGAAACAGCCGTAAAGGGAACAAGAGAATCTCAGTTTATCATGTCATGTTTCATCCTTTTTTGGTTATGAGTTTGTGGATCGACCGGAAAAGGGTTATTAATTCAGGGGTACTGAAATTACGAGAATCTCCTTTACAATTCAACAAGGCAAAGAAAAGTAAAGAGCAAGCAACTTGATTGATTTCTTCAGGAGAGGTTCTTGCTTGTTTCGAACATCGATCACTAGTTTGTGTGTCATGCCAATAGTTATCAGGTCGTTTTGTTACCTTCTCTTAATTTGAGCTTGGCTTCTAAGGACTCTCTTGTGTGTATCATCACAAGTTCCTACAGAAAGTCCAGCGGATTTTAATGAACACTCACCACTTTATAAGGCTCCAAAAAGGGATCTGACATGATCGATAAACTTGCAAGTTACTCACCTTCGGTCGTTGATCTAAAATTATGATGTGCCTTAATTAATCTTTCGTGTATATATTACTGATTGATAAATAACAATACATGTATTTATCTAGCCCAACCAACTATGTCTGATCTCTTGACACTGTTATTATCATTAATTACCTGAGAGAGACTTGAGGTAATTAAGGTTATCAAGCTACACCCATATGCACTGAATTTTCTTCTGGTGTTATCTTGTATTTCAGCATCAAAATCTCTCTTCTACAATTACAACTCTCTCTCTCCTCTCTCTCTCTCTCTCTCTCTCGTGTTTTTTTTTCTTATTTAGACGATAAAAAGCAATTATATTTACATGTTATTAACTTCTTATCACAAGTTTTTTTAACTCCCATGAAATGTTAGTAAGATTAAAAAAAAAAATGTTACACCCCTATCTCATTTTATGAGACATTTGTTGAAGTAATTTAATGTCCTAAAATATAAGACGTTAATTGAAATCCTTTCCATATTATATCTCATTGTTTCACTCTTTATCTAATTTTCTTTCCTCTCACTAATGAAAAATATTATTAAAAATTTATAACAAATTTAAAATTGTAAATTACATTTAATAAACTTCATTAATGTAATTTTGCCAAAAAAAAATCTTATAAAATTGGGATGGTTTGAGTATTAAAATATGTATTTAATAAGGATAAAATTAAAAATATATTATATTTTTAAATAAAATTTATGACTTTTAAGATTTTTTCCAGTTTCAATTAAACAAGTTAAAATTAATTTATAAATAAGATGAAAGAAACTAGATTTGGGCTGTTTGAAATCAATCAATGTGAAATGTGAGACTCTCAAGAGGCCAGGAAGCAAGACATAATTTGGCTTCCAAAATTTCATATATAAAAGTTTGTATTATTGTATATGCTTCCACTATCAAGTCCCTAGCACCTAACAAACAGAGACTCCAGGTTGGATGAGCCCCATTTGTCTCTCTTTTCACGCAACAAAGAGAGACTGGTGGACCCTAAATCCTAATTAAGACAGTAATAAACAACACAAACTCTACAAAAAATCAACAAGTATCTCAGTGGTTTCAATAACGGTAGTTTGATTAACACGCACCATTATTACAGTGGACATGATATTTCAAAGCCCTCAGATGCTTCAATTGGGATCTCTAACAATACATACGTATGTACACAATATGTGTATTGCCGCAAATTAGTATAATTAATGCTCCAATCAAACAACTATTTTGCATCACAAAGACCCGTTGATTCATCACAGAAACCATCTCGATCGAGCAGTTTCTGAGGCGGCGCGCTTAACAATGGAGAAGATGGGGAACCATATGCACTTCTTCTTTTGTTCCCACAACCTAAGCTTGCCCTCGTGCTTACTCCTGTTACAGGATTTGTGCCGCTAGCATACTTGCATAGAGCCTACACAAAAGCAAGCATGCTATTCATTAGTTGATTCCTTGTGGGCCGGCTTGGTTGTTAGAAAGGAAGGAAACGGGATGGATCAAAGAAACAAAGGCAAAAATAAAACGACTAAGATGTGGATGGAAATAAGTTAACAATGTTTATGAATAGGGAAGTATAATTTAGTTTATAGTGCGATGATTCCCACATTTATGTCATGTGGTATTGGATTTTATCATTCTTGTTATGAGAGGAGGGGGTAATTAAGTTTATTTTTGTTTTCATTTATTTAACTCATTACATTCATATTCTTTGAAACAACCAAACGGCTCCTAAGTATCAAAATGCCTAAGAACCAGCACGATCAGAAATCTGGCTGACACATTTCAAATCAATTGCAATGGACTCTTCCATAAGTCAATGGCATTATATGAAGCAAAAGTGGGAGCCATGAATGATGGCCAAACAGTGAAAGTACAGTCAATGGCGTTACCAGCTTTTGGGGAAGGTCCAAAACAGCATCACTAAAGTCAGCCCCTTCAACGACGGCACCTCCAAGATCACTACGTGTGAGGACTGTTCTAACTAGAATGGCATTTGTGAGATTAGCTTCATTGAGAACCTAGAGACCCCAGAAAATCAGATAATTAATTCAATACACACACACACCACACACACACACACATAAACGAACATTGATAAACATAAAAGTTTAATGCCAGATCAACTCACCATTCGATCCATCAATGTATCACTTAAATCAGCACCTGCAGGATATCAAAACAAAATTTAGAGTCAAGATAATTCATTGTTTAGGTAACAGAACTTGGAAACACATACCCGCACACGCAGGATCACTACATGTATATGCATATGTACATAGAAGAGCACTGAAAGGAAAAGGTTGAATATTGAAGCATGATTTCCTCATCAACCAAGGCTTGTCATCCCTCAAACATGTTTGGCGGATAGATAGGACGAGAGTCAATAATTGAAATTCTCTGATGTACAGTTAATAACCCAAATTTCTCACCACACTCAGTTTCCCAGCCCCAGCCAGTTCAATCCTTCAATATTTCACATTCACAGAGGAGACGGCCCGGTACCTCCGGTACCTCTTCCTACAAATCCACCATTTGCATCTTGAATATGAACATCCTGGTCACAAGCCCCACACAAGAGAGATGGAGTAGTATTTGTTGGCAAGCCTCAGTTCTATGAAGCACAAGGCTTTGGGAGGGAGCGAGCAAGAGCGTGCACGCACACACGGGAGAAGGTGTAGCATTTGTTGGCAAGCCTCAGTTCTATGAAGCACAAGGCTTTGGGAGCATGATGTTGGTTAGGAGTGTTTGCAGGATGGGATAAGACCAGGACACTCCTGTCCCATGTCCTATCCCAAAAAATGACCTGCCTAAATTTTTATCTCGTGTCGCATCTCGAAAGTCGTCGCACAAGGCTTTGAGAGCATGATGTTGGTTAGGAGTGTTTGCGGGATGGGACGAGACCAGGACACCCCTATCCCATGTCCCATCCCAAAAAATGACCTGATTGAATTTTTGTCCCGTGTCGCATCTTGAAAGTCGTCCCATCCCGTTAGGAACTAGGACAAAACCGAGATGTTGGAACGTCCCACCGATTCAATAAAGCAAACAATGTAAGAAAAAAACCTAGATAACATTTATTAAAATTTAAAAAAAAACACCACAACACCGAGTACATAAATCACAACAATTTAAAGTCAATTATTAAATTACATCATCATAACTATAAATGTATAACATATAATGATAGCAATTACAAGTAATCTCTAAACTATAAGAGCAACAACAATAGATAAGTCAAACACGATATCAAGTTATTATTTTTCTTCTTTAATTAAGATATATTAAGCTAGTGACTCTTTTCAAAATAAAGCAAGATGTGTGATATAAACAAAAGTTATTAAATAAATAGATATACAAATAAATTATATTAATATAACGAATATATTATAAAGAAAGATATTACCTTATATTGCTTACTCTATGTCAGTGAAATTACCAATATAAAAAACTTTTAGTTTTAAACAAGAATTGCACATATTGAAATTATAATTAATATAAGTATAAATTAAATTAATATCATTAATATATTAAATTATATTTTTTAAAATAAAAAATAATATATTAAATATATATATAATATTTAGGGCAGGATGGGACAAGACATTCTGAGGGCAAACTCGTACCCCATCTCACAAAGTCTCGTCTCGATTATTTTTAAACAAGGACAAGACCTATCCCAATATGATCGAAATGAAATCAGGCCTATTCAAACAAGTACAAGTTGAATGCCTCTTTTGGTAGTGGGATCAAAACAAAGTGGTCGAGATAGAGCACATGGAATTTGTTGTGCAATGGATTGTAATTAAGACCTTGCAAGAATAGAGGATATATTGAGGCACTTGTTGCACAGATGGGTGTTTGAATTTTGACTGAGCAAGTAAGGCACATAAAAACAAAAACAAGAAGAAGCACGGCACATAAGTGGCAAGTGTTAATCATTCTATTGGACATATATGAATGGAGTTAACAAGGAACAGAGAAAAGATTTAAAGGCAAATTTGAAAAAAATTTTAGGACAAAAATCAGTTTTTGGACAATCTCTTTATTGGGAAAAATATACAAATATTATAATGATAAAGAAGTAAAGGGAGACTTATACTTAGGTCTCCCACAACACAATTAAATATCACAAGCTCCATTAACAATTTTGGTTATCCTTTCGCTAACTTATCAATGAACTTTGTAGTATTTAATTGTGTTATGAAAGACTTAGGTGTAATTCTTCCTTTTTATAATGATCATAAAAGATGCGTTACTATCTCTGTCCGTCAGCATACTTCCTTTACCATTTGGTGTGGGAATGAACGAAAGAATCTTTAAGCAATATTATCAATTTTCATCACTCTTTTTGTATTCATCCTTCCTCGTAGTTTGGTTCCTCCCAAGTCATCCCACAACCCAAAGTCATGTTACAGTTTTTTTTTAATACATCTTACATAAATATTACACACGCACACATATTTACATGCATGTATGAAGCAATGATTCTTGGGAAGCTGTTCAAATATGATGATGAAGTCACAACCTTTTATTTACAAAAAAGCAGTGTATACCTGTAAAATTTGCCTTGTACGCAACAGCTTTCTCAAGATACGCACCATTAAAAGTTGAACCGCTGAAATCAGATTCCCTCATATCAGCAGCTGTGAAATTGGCTCTTCTGTATCAGTCATTTGGAATGATTATAAACAGGACTTCACTAAATTCCCACTCTGTTGGATTCCAAATAATATGCTGTAAATGTGATTGCTAATAAAAGTTGGCGTATCTCACTTTTCTGTTCTGCTGATCATATATATATCCCTTGATTCTTTTTGAAAATTTGTTTGTGTTTATAAAATTCAATTTTAAAATAATATCCCTATATCTCCTAAAATTCTAAATCTATTGCATATACCCAATTCATTCAATTTACACATACAGTTCTTTCTATTATTTGGAATTAAGCCTTTGAACCAATTAAATCCACATATATACTTTCTTCTTTTTTACTTTTAATTTTCTCTTACAAGATCCTTTTTGTCCCCAGTTTCCTTTTTATTTTCATTTGTAGATGCTTTTGAGCCTCCGCATCTACTTATCTCTAAATAATAAATACCAATAATACACGGCAACGACATGCTTTCAGTTCTCACTCTTAACTTTGAGGGTGCTAAAGAAAATCTCTCTTCATAAGAATGTTAGAAATAAAGTGCCTTCAAATTTGGGAGCTCAATGAGTCATTTTAATCTTAAATGTCAAGTTGCTGATTTGTCATTTTTCAATTGTAGGTAAGCGTTAGTTATTTTAAAATATTATCATCTACCGCTAACATGAAGTAAAAAATAATAGGTAAATTATTTGAATTTCTAATACTTCATTGAATTGTATATAGTAAAAATATACTCTCTCTGGTCCAAATTATAAGCAATTTTTGGGGGGGGAAAATACCACATACCAATACAGTTCAAAATATGAGCAGTTTTTGTGAAAAAAAAATCCATATACTTATAAAGTCCTCATTCCCATTAACATATATATTGTTTCTCTTTTTTACCTTCAATACTAATTACCAATGCACTTTATAATAAATAAGAGATATATTAGCACAAACATCTAGATTAATAAGTATAAGGGATAAAATGGAAAAAAATTTACATATAATAGGTTGCTTGTATTTTGAACTAATATTAATTGAGGAAAAATGCTTATATTTTAGAGTGGGGGGAGTATTCAATAAGATACGAAAAGAGGGGGAAAAAAATTACCCTTCATCTAAACATCAGCATCTAGTATCCTACATCAAGTTTCATGATAAAACAGAACCCTTTAAAACAAGAATAAATTGGGATTAATTTAAAAATTTGTTATGAACCTTAAAAAATTTTACTCTTCCAATCTAATAATCAAGAAATCATACAATAAACTTGCCCCCAGCTAGAGTCTTGACTATATCACAATGGCTGGCTGGATCATTTACCTGAAATTTTCGTTCACATGGACAGCTTTCCTGCAAAAAGTAAACACAAATCGAAGCGACATATTCAGAAATTCTTGTTTCACATGACACAAAAGAGGAAATAATCCAGAATTTCTCCAGAAACGAACTTGAGGTCAGCAGAACCAAACTGAGCAGCAGATCCAATCCCAAATTCACCCGTGTTTCAGCCTCAAATTTGTTCAGTTCAGCAAGAGCTGTTAGGTCGGCGCCGAAGGTAATAACCGCCCGCCGCCGCCAACGTGGCGGAAACCAGTTTCCCCCCCCCATTTCTTTGAATCTGCAATATCAGAAGGCAATCCATTCTCTCTTTCAGTCTCAAAATCAGAACAATCTCTTCCTATTTTAATGAAACTGGACAAATTGAAAACAAAATATTGCAAATATGTCGTTATTAGATGTACTCACCAGTGTTTGAGTTGATTTGGCAGACAGGAGAAAAGGGCTTTGAATGAGACTTTAAAGTGGAAGAGACGTGAAGAGATTTAATAGATAGTGGAGATATTGAATTCAAAGCCATGGCGACAGAAGAATGGAGGAAGGTGAAGCGAGGTGATGGCAGCAGTTCACTGCTTTATCTTTGGAGGGAAGGACAATGGTGAAATGGTGGAATGTTGATGAAAGCGTCGCTACGTTATCTGGTTCTAGAGATGCCACGTCACTCTTTTTTTGGGCCTGTGAAGCACATCATCAGCCCAATTTATAGTGTGAGACTGTGAGCCCATTAGCTTGGTTTCGCTACACGTGTTTGTGTTGTGTGTGAGAGCCCATTAGCTCGGTTTCGCTATACACACGTGTTTGTGTTGTGTGTGAGAGCCCATTAGCTCAGTTTCGCTATACACACACGTACGCGTGTGTGTGTGTGTTGGGGGGGGGGGGACTAGCTTCCCATGACCAAGCCTACGCCTTCATCACTGAAAAAAACAAAAAAAAAAATCTAAAATATGCAAATAATAAATAAATAAATAAATAATACCATGTGTGATTAGAAGCATCAATTAGAGCTGGTTCGGTTTTAAAAAGAACAGCCTTTGAAGGATGAAGGCCTAAACGAGTTAACCTTGTAAAGCTCGATTATACTTCAGAGCTCAATTTTGATCAGCCTGACTTTAGCCCTTAGAACCTAAGCCCTATATATTTTTTATTTTTTAATTTAAAAATCTAAAAAATACATTTAAAATTCTAAAAAATTTATTACACATAACATTAAATTTATAAAAACAAATTTAAATCTAATAAAAAACAACATCACAAAATTAATATCGATAACAATCAAACTTTGCTGCCATCATTAAAAAAATCTTAATAATTTTTATTATCATCAATATCAATATAATCTTATCACTCTCTTTGTGGAGTTTTAATAGTGGCAAAGAGATTAAACTCTTCATATATTCTTTCTTCATCTCCATGAAATGAGGTTAAGGTTTTAAACTTAGTGTAGTATTTAATTTTTTTAATATTAAAATATAAAAAAATTTAAAAAGGGTTGGCCTTTTTGTTTTAGGATTTAAAAGATCAACTCTTTTAAACCTAAATTATTATTTTACACTCTAAAATAGCGACTTGATTATAAATTTTTGTTGACCCTAAAAGGGTCGTCCTAATGAGCTTGACCATAATTAACAACTCTAATTGTAATAATTATTTTGTAGCTTCTTGGGACTTGTTTGGCATTTTATTTTTTTGCAAAAAACACATTTGCCCCCAACTATTAAAAACGATAGCAAGTTAAGATTGGGGAATGGCTATTTTATTTGAGGAAATGAATAAAATAGAATAGAAAATAGTGTCTCTTTGTAAATTTATATATCAATGAAATACTGAGAATCAGTGACAAGTTAAGATTGTAAGATGACTACTTTGTTTAAGTAAAAGACTAAAACGGAATATAATAAACGACAAGTGCCTCTTCGTAACTTTATTTATCAATGAAATCCAACTAGTAAAAATCTGTGACAAGTTAAAATTGAAAATTAACTTTATATTGTGAGAAATAATTAAAATGAAATAATAAATGACAAGTGTCTCTTTGCAAAAAAATTTATTAGTACACTCAACTACTTAAAAACAGTGATAAGTTAGGATTACGAAATGACTACTTTTTTTTTGAGATGTAATTTAAACAAAATAACAAATGACAAATGTCTCTCTGCAATTTCTTTTATCATGAAATCTAACTACTAAAAATATGTGACAAGGTTGAGAGATGACTACTTTCTTTAAAAAAATGACTAAAATAAAATAAAAAATGCTAAATGCCTTTTTGCAAATTTATTTATAAGTGAAGTTCAACTGTTAAAACTCAATGACAAGTTAAAGAGTGAGAAATGACTTTTGTTTTTTCGGGAAAAAGGACTAAAAAGGAATAGCAAAATGTTATGCAGTTTGACAAGCGTTTTTTTTTTTTTTTTTTTGAAGGGGTAAAAAACTCCTACGCATTAAAACTAGATGATCAAGAAGCTAAGTTCTCAGGAATTACAAAATAATTATTACATTTTGTAATACTTATTTATTATTTGTTTATTTCAAACATATTTTTTTGTCATTCTAAAAAAAATTGATCTAAGTGGTCGAAATTTTTCATTTAAGTAAGTAAATAGCTAGGGGTTTAAATCCTAGCAATTGTATATGTAATAAATTAGTTAAAAAATATTTATCATTTGATCTTAGTACTTAGAGGAGATAATACTTGTTATCGACGGAACACACCTTTTATTATAAAGGGGAAAAAATCAAGAAGAGATTACATGGGAATTGGCTCAGCGGAATGAGCCAAAAGGAGATGTTGAATGCCAATGCTTCCTCCAATTTAGTGAGGAGCAATTAAGAGACTCCTTCATCAGAAGTAATAGGTAGTTACAGACCGTGCTTACGGAGCTAGTGAGCAATCGCATTGCCGACTGTTTGCTAATTAGGCATCAATCAATTGCCTTGTTGCACACCATGACTCTGTTTTGAGTAAGGTGTATTTCATGAGGATTTCTTGTAGTTTTGTCGATTTATTTGAATCTTTCTCATAAATAAATATGTGTTATGAGAATTTTCTTCAAGCTTTTCTTAAGGCTCATTTTTCATGAGAAATCTGAGGTATAATTTTTGTTAGGGATTTTCTTCAAACAACTTTTTTTTTTTTGTTTTTTCCCATTTGGAGAACAATTTATCAAACTTATATGTCTTAGTTTTATATATAATTTTTCAGAACATTTATTCAAACAAGTGTTTTTCTATTTTTTTTCCAAAACTTGTTCCACGAAATACAACAATTTCAAACAAGCTATGTCGTTTTGGCACGGATGTGTTTACCTCTAGTCTATTAAGATAAATTATCTTAACCAATAAGGTTGGGTCTAGTGAAAGGAACTAATCCTTCATAATGAATTAATGTTTAAATTCCTATGAGGAGAGGCATCTACATTTAGTATCCAATTGTATCTCAAACAAGATTGTCTCTAATAAAAAAAAACTAATGATCAACACAAGAAATTAAGACAACCCATGTGAACACTGTATTCTTTTCAAACATTTTTAATAATAATAAAATAAAAAAATGAAATTTTAGTAATATAGATAAAATAAAAAAATTTTAATAGGGTTTGATTTTATTTTAACTTAGATGATTTTTTTGTTAATTAAGATTTTATTTCTTTTAATTCATCAAAACCACCGAAAAATATATAAAAAAAAAAAAAAAATAAAATTTAATTCTTTTTAAGATTATATTTTAAAATAATAACAATAATAATAATGATCTAACAAATTTTTAAAATCTTACTTAAATTTTAAAAAATCTCTCCCAAATTATCTTAACTATTTAAAAATATTGAGAATTAATTTTAAAAGTTAATTTTTATTTCTCTCCTTAAATCTTGTTATTTTTTATTTAAAAAAATATGTCTGTTAATTTAATTTTTAAAATCAATTAACAAAAACATTAAAAGGCAAAAAAAAGGGGGTCACCAGATGAAACGCTAATCCCTAGCCTAAAAGGCTTTTCCCTCAGCAAACGCAGAGAGCGCACACACACAAGTCAGGGCAGACAGGGATAGAGCAGAAACGTAGAAGGTAAACGCCACTGGATGCAACAACCTGAGAGGAGTGAGAGCACACAATCAGTTTTCCATCTCCCACACAAGCCTCTGAAGCCAAATTTGGTAATGAATCTGGTAAGATTTCAAAGATTAATGGCAGTCTTCATCTACAAAAGAGGGTGAGAGGATTTTCAAGCAAAAAAAAAACGCACAAGTAAGGGGGTTGGGTTTGAAGAGAAGAAAAACTGAAAGATTGAGGAAGTAAGGAGGATTTTCTGGAGATTGACCAAAAAAAAAGAGGTTTTGAGTGATGGATTTTCTGGAGGTTGAGACTGAAAGAAAGGATTTCTAGGAGAAGAGATTGAGAAGTTTCTTAAAAAAAGGAGAGAGACCGAGAGTTTAAACCAAAGTATTGAGAGGATTTCTGGGAGAAGAGATCGAGAAGGGGAGGAAGAGAGACAGCTTGCGGAGAGTCTAAGGAATAGAGACCGAAGATCTAAGGAATTTCTAGGAATTTTTCAGAAGAGAGGCAGAGATTGAAGTCTTTGTTCATTATAGTACGTTCGAATTCTATGCTTTTATCCTAAATATTCTAGTTCTTCTTGTATCATATATCATAATGCTATTGTGCAGAATAGAGATTTTCAAATCTATAGAGCTAGAAATTACATGGAAGTTATATTAGTTCTACGTATACCTGTCCTGTATCTTTGTAGAGATGTTGATCATTTTATTGGAACATATAATGGTCAATCAAATTCTTTCCTTTATGATTTTCTATTTGTCCAGCTTATCTAATCCATTGAATCATGCGTGCCTTTAAGTGATTTCTTTGCTATAAGGTTTTTGATTTTCTTTTTTGGAATGACTTGTCTTTTGAAATTGCTATGGATTAATAGTAACTCAAGATAAAGGATTTCTACATGTAACCTTAATTTTTTTTTATGAGGGAATCTTTGTTGTAATGAGCATGAGATTTTTGTCTTGAATCCTGTGATAGAACTATGTGTATTCTTGAGTATTCTTGTTGATGTATTGGTTAGAGAGCCACACATCATTTCAGTTTATTCGGTGATGATAAAAATCATAGTTAAATCAATTTATTAGCTATCATACGTTGATCATGTCTCAATATTAAGATTTCCTTGTTCTGGACATACTATTTCAAAAATGAGAAAATAGTGGAGAAAAATGTAGTGATGATTGTTAAAATGAAATGAATTTCCAAATGAAAACTTTGCTTGCTGTCCTAATTAGCTTGATCTGATTATCAATATATTCCTACCATGGATTTGTCTCTAACAATGAAGAAGTTATCCTACTTATTAGAGCATGCATTTGAGTTTGATTTGTAAGATGTGTTTAGTATAAAAGATCTGCTAGTAGGTGGCAGTAGAGTTTTGATCCTTGTGTCTCTTTAAGGGGTCTTTTACGTAGATTACCACTGTGTTTATTTTTATAAGTTTCACTACGCCTTCCTTCATTATTGTGGATTAATATGCTATTATTTGAGCTTTTCTTATAAAAGGTTGAGGAGGGAATTCGATTTTTAAGGGGATTTCATTTT